GGAGTATAGTTGTGTTTCGGCTTGTGAATGGAAACCAATGGATTGTGATTACAATCCCAAGCGAAAAGTCTGATGTTGATTTGTAGATAGAACTTATCTCTCCACAGTACAGTGCTAGTAGTAGATTTCAGTTGATCTGAACTGTATTTAAATGTCACGCGTAAGTTTGATTTTCGCGTACATTTCATTTGTTCTAAAATTTAAATGCCACGCGCAAGTCTGATTTACGCGTACGCGTAAGTTTGATTTACGCGTACATTCCATTTGTTCTCAAATTTAAATATCACGCGCAAGTCTGATTTGCGCGAACGCGTAACTGTCGTATAGACAAAAATGCGCCTCACCTTTTGAACGCGCAACTACCCTCTAGAGGCACCCTTACATACATGGATATCTGTATGGTAGTATAACTCGGGCCTTGCTTTTGGAAAATGACTAGAGAATGTTAAATTGCTATAAAAGGCTATGAAAGGATTTCAATTTTCTGAGAAAAAAACAGTTCTTCTTGACAAAATTTTAAGTAAGCAAAATGCCTTAAAAAGAATGTGTGATAAGTATTATTTTAATATTAAGGAGGTTACCCCTATATGCACTCCTTGTGTATTGTCCATTCAGTATGTATAAATAAGTTCCCAAAATATGTAGAAGAAATAGTTTTCTCTAGATTGGCTAGAAGTCTAGATCTGGCTTTTTTGGATATACGCACCCTGCAGATTTAACATGAAAACTTTTGCAATTTGATGCAGATGATTGCATTTATATGCACTGATTAATGTGGATATGTGTTGCCAGGCAAAATTCAAAGCAAACCAGAGTACCGGTAAAAACATTTGACATAAAAATGAAACAATATAAAAAGTTACAGTTAAGTTAAAGTTTACAGTTATTATCATTACATTCTTTCTCATAACAGTAATTTTTATATTTCTACAGGGAGAAAAAATATTTCAGGTCACCGATTTTAAAATCACTTGGCCGATTGATAAGTTATCATACAGGTTCTTTGGTTCTTGGTGCCTTTATTATCACATTAGTTAAAATACCTCGGGCTATACTCGCTTATACACAAGCCAAGTAAGTTTTATCATCGTATATTGTAGCTTTTCTTCAAAGCCTGGTCAGAAATAAAATTCTTATTTAGAATGTCAGAATTTTTAATTATGAGGAAAAAAAGTGATGGAGATTCAGAATACAATAATTTCTTGTAACTGCATCCAATAACGACAGTGTATGCAAATTTAAATGCAGGGTCCAATAATTATGCAAATTTACAATGTTATTGGATTTCGCTTGACCTTTTTCATCTTATCAGTAGATCAGTGTAAACACAACTAAAACACCTACTGAAAATATATTTTTGTATTTAAAGTAAAATACATGTATGGGTGATTCAAACTTCAAAATCTGTTGACTGACTCTATCACATATCAACAAGGAATATTTTGGCAGTGGTTTGTCAACGAGGTTTGTCAAGCTGGCAGTATTATAGCTGCTTATCTTTACAGTTGATTGTTTCTTTACATTTCTTCTACATGCAGTATTACTTTCTGAAGCTATTTGTTTAGTTAAACACACAAATAAATGAGCCAGACAATCTTTCCAGCTTGTGTGAAAATAAACAAAAACAGTTAAGGTTGTTCTAAGGGTCTGACTGAGCAGGACACAAATGCTCAGAAATTGTGCCAGACAATTGTGCAAATTTTGCTCATTGGATTATGCAAATTTGGCTCATTGGATTATGCAAATTTCTAATATGCCACTCACTTTGAATTACCGGTACATCAATTTTCACTGCAAAAGTTTTTTTTTTTTTTCTATAATTAAAGTTATTTACAAAATGATTTTTTCGTAAAAATTGACAGAAGTCAGTCAAAGAGTTCCCAATTGCATTCACTATTGGTTTATTGTCTCTATTTGATTCCTCCTAGATTGAAGGATAGCACATCCAAAGTAGCACAGTGGATTATGACTTGTCTGTCATGTTGTCTTTGGTGTTTTGAAAAATGTCTAAAATATCTCAATGAAAATGCCTACATTGTGATTGCTATCGAAGGAGTCAGCTTTTGTCCTGCAGCACAGAAAGTAAGTCATTCTTAACTGTTTGACAAAAATCAAATGCTTGCAAAAGGATTACTATTCTGATATTTTCGACTTCTTGTTGTAAACAACCGTAAGTCCGATTGCCTTGATATTATACATATAAGTACTACAGGTAGACCTCTCTAGGATTTGTTCATTTCATGATATCTTCAATTATCTAACTTTGATGAATATTTTTGTCATTTTTGGTAAAAAGTGATATTTTCGAATTCTTGTTGAGAACAGCAAGTCCAATTGCCTTGATATTATACATATAGGTACCTCGGGTACCCCTCTCTCAGATTTGTTCATTTTCTAATGATATCTTCAGTTCTTTAATTGAAATTGCATTGCTAACACCAGAGCTATCTCAGCCAAGAGGCTGCTTGATTTTTTTTCAAATAGTGTTCCATACTCTACTGTCGTCATGTCAACTGTATCCCATGTAACCATGGTATTGGAAGAGCGGACACGATAACAAGTGAACACAATATTGATGTAATATCTCATTGCTATTCTTATTGCAGGCTTTCATCACATTAGTGTCCAATGCCTTAAGAGTTGCTGCAATCAACTGTGTGGGTGACTTTGTTATGTTCCTTGGAAAGCTGGCAGTAGTGGGGATCACAGCATTTATTGGATTACTGATATTTGGGGTAAGTTCTGTGTATTATAGATGACACTTAAGAAGAAATGCTGGTTGTGAGTCTAGCATCTTCATGGGTGTCACTGTGTTGGTGACATTATCATGTTTTCTTGGCAGCTGGTGTATACAGGGTTTGTCTGGGCATGATCTACAACTACAATAGACGGAGTAACATACTTGTTCGCATGTTAGCTGTGATCCTTGAGATGCATGTTGTAATACATCAGTTCTGTCTCTGTGTTTTGTTATTCACCATGTCTCATCTTCAGGGGAATTGCTTTGTACTTTCACCTCATATAAATACATTAGTACCAGTAATGCATCAGCATTGCTGGCATGCATACATGATGAGCACTCCTCCAGTCAACACATGCTATTCTGTTCTTTTATATGAGACTACAGAAGCATTGTTGGATGTTACCTGGGTATCTTCATTGTGTTACTGATATTTTGATTGCATTTATCTTTAGAGTCATAGCAGTGTCAACTATTATGCCATTCCCATTCTTCTTGCCGGTATCTTTGCATTTCTCATTGCCCATGCCTTCTTCACTATATACGAGGTTAGTAACATCATGTGTCACTGCCACTTTTAGTATCCATCTTGCAATACAGACTACACTGTGTCATGGAACTGTCAATCATGTCTGTCGGTATTCTCATTACTTCTGTGACATAATCATTGTACTTGACCAAGACTGCATGAATTTGTAAACCTTTCACTTGAATTTAATACTCGTTATTTTTTATTTCACTTTTTTATTTCAATGGAAACAAATTGATGACTTTTAATGATGAAATTTCCCATCTGTTAATTTGTTCTATTAAAAGTGTATACATTTATGTATTATAAAAAGACATGTCAAACAAGTTAGAATACTGTAAAATACAATGCATTTTAGCTGCTTTGTATGAAGTCTATTTTCACTGATTTTGATTAGTTTAATGTGAAATATAAAACAAAAGGTATTTTCTCTGAATTTTATTTTCACCAATTCAGTCCAACTGATGATTTTCTGTTCAACAGCTAGATCTTGCTCATTGCGTGAAAGATGCAGACCGAACGTCTGCTGCAAAAATTGCATGATTTGATTCTCAATTTGAATTTCTTTTTTTAATAGCTCCGATAGACCAATCTTTGAAAGGGAAATATTGCATTTAGATATCCTTACTTCGTTGAAATTGACCATCGTCAAATATGTACAGCACGTTATTAAGCATGAAAATAACCCCCAAAATACTTTCGAGTTTGTTGAATTCCACACGATGTTTGTCACTACTATGACGCTATGACCTTTGTTTGTCCTGTTTTTATGTTTGATTTCACACATAACGCGTGATCTTGCAGTAATTTACAGTAAATGACTTAGTGTGAGGCTGATGTCCAGCCGGGTCTTGCGCTATTTTGAAGATGTGCTTCAAATAAAGCAAATACAGTACATGTACAATTTGCATTCTACTGCTAAATTAATATTGTATCTGCGTGAAAGAAAAAAACTAATTCTCTTGAAATTATCGGAGTTCCATCACTGTGTAGTTTGTTTGTAAGTTGGCCACATAAAGTGGCTTATACATATTATTATCTGTAATATATTGTATTTTGTATCCGGTTTGTAGAGTAAAGATGATGTTTTATTTTATGCGGTCCCAATGTTGTTAGTGTGTGTCTTAGCTTATTATATTGCAGACTGCTTCTTTTTAGTATATCAGGTAAGCATAGCAATGTAATTGCTGATTTGTAGATTAGTTTCAATCATTTTTTTTCAATTAGGTTATATAAAGTAAGAGTTTCTTAAAATTGGTGGAGTGTTTGCAAAATTGTGCTGAACTCAAACATAATGCAAAATGGTTGGTCAGTTGTGCAGGAGAAGTGTTGCTGTTAGGTATTCCAAAATGTATATTGAAATGAGTACTGCATGAAACATATTAGTTGGGTAATTTAAAGTTAACCTTTTCACCACCAGTTCCTTCTTTTCGTCACAAATTCATAAACTAGTCCTGCTGATAGTCTGCACTTTCATTTAGAAGATTGTGACAAACAAAAGCCAAATTTTTTTTAGTAAAAACTGAAAATTGGCTCAAATTTTGTCTGTTGGCTCCAAAATTGGGGTTCATTTCCATAAAGAATTGAAGAATTATAAAAAAAAAAAAAAAGAGCAGAAAAATTTGGGCGAGAAAGTCTGGTGATGAAATGGTTAAAATGGAGTATTGTATCATCATTCTGAACTCAGTGCTATTATTCTGCAACTTGCACTTTTGGTATTGGCATTATTATAATTTTATAATGGTGGAGCTAAAATACATACCTCCCTGTCGGTTTAATACTGAGAAAGCAAAGTTAACAGATCTGGAGATTTACATGCATGTTCTTAGCAAGTTTGGACATTTTTTAGTCTGTACTAACTACCCCTCCTGTTCATGAAACACAAATGGGTCAAACTGATATGCAAACATGTGGGGATCTTAGTCGGTACTAGAGTGTAGCCTTAACACATCTGATGATATAATAAAAAGTTTCATTATTGTACTGACAGATGACCATTGACACATTACTGTTGTGTTTCTGTGAAGACTGTAGAGTGAATGATGGATCACCAGGTAAAGAATACTTCATGGACAGACAACTCATGGTAAGAATAACTCAATAACAAAGACAGAACCATCATGAGCATTTTCTTTTCAACTCTTTTTAGCTATGGTGTGAAATATTAGTGTCCTACAAGTCTTTGCTGACATTACCGGTACTATTACTCAATATTTGAAGACAGCTGCTTCTCTTCATAGAAATTACAAGTAGACTCTTACAATAAATAATGTTTTGTTATTATTGCATCATCCAGCGCACATCCAGAAATAATGTTGGTGTAATGTTGATGTACAACATTGTAATAGCTTTATATCAATATTTGGTTGCTTTAAAATACTGAAAATTTAAACGTACATTGGCATACATTCAAAACTGCCAGATAGGATCAACAATGTCTCTTCACTTGAAATGTAAATTGTGGTCGATCTCTGCTGATTTTTTGGTTTTCACTGTGCGAGATGTTTCAGTTCAGCAGATGTTGATGCATAGCTGAGTACGCTTGTGTGTTCTAGACCTGGTTAGATTTCTCTACCTGAATGGTTGCCAATAAAAAGTAAACAAATCTAAGTGTTGACAATTTTTATTTATTTGCAGGATTTTGTGAGTAACAGTAGTGAGGCTATAGATAACCTGGAGAGGAAGAACAATCCCAACTCAATGGTTAGATCTCATGAGAACATTGACTTAGAAGGGGTATGTTATTATTTCTAATCTGTATGTATGTATGTATGTAATGTATGTATGTATGTATGTATGTATCAACAAGGATTTGTAAAATAATGGTATGCACATTTTCATAATCAAATAGGGTATTACGTGATATAGATCTCATTTTGTGTGAATAGCACTCGTTTCAAATGATCTTACAAAGCTGTATGTCATGTGATTAATTATTCATGAAGATGTTAGATCAGGACAAACAAATGAGTAAACAAAACTCAAATAGCGACTGGCATATTTCTAACTACTGTGTTGTTGATATAATTTTTTGAGGGCATTATTCAGGCAATAGATGCCCTTAGGTTTCACAACAAATCATCAAAAAGTCACTGCAAAATAACATTTACATCTTTTGTCTCCATTTGTACCACATTCTGTGATTACCGGTACATCAGTTTACTTTTCAGACCACGTGATTATGATAAATGCTATACCATGTGCATGTGACCAATAAACATGGAAGATTTGATTGTGGAAAAAGAAATGAGTGAATCTATCACCATATGCAAAAGTTCATCCTTCAGAAACACTAACTATAATCTGAGATAAATGCTGGTCAATTCTTTCACATGCATTTAATTTCAGTATTTCTCAAAATTTACTTTTGTTCATCAATCACACTGCATTCACACAAATCAAATCAAACATTTCACACCAGTTGTATACCCTTACCTCATAATTCCTTGAATAAAGAGATATAGAAAGTGATATGAATTGTACAAGTGAAAAACAAGAATGAATGTTGGAGTAGAAAGTACATGTTTTTCAAGTCAAAACACGTGTCTAACTTTTAATCTCAGTCAGTGACATGAATATTTGCGACATTTTATGACAGTACTACTGACTTATTCCAAGCAATGGATCTGTATCAGCAGGCCAACTAGGTCTTGTCTTTTTGTTTTCTAGGTGTCTTTTTTTAAGTTATTTTTATTTCTGTCATTTAAATACTTGTCTTCTATAAATTTAAAAAAACTTCTTATATACTATGCTATAATCTTTCAAGCATTTTGTCCAACTGCAGCATGAAATATTTTGTAAAGTTAGTAGTCTCCTGGAATGATGCATGAACACTTCCCTCTATTGACCATATTAGTAGTTTTCTTGTTTTTTTGAATGCTGGCTGACTACCTTTCTCTTTGGTTACCATGGTTCTTGTAAGTAATTATCGCTGTATTTCTTTCTCTTGCAGTCTGCAAATGCCACTGCTGTTTAGTTGATTCAAGACATGACTTTTGTACAGTTCATCTTTATACCTTAACAACATGTGTATATTTATCGTGTGGTGCAGTGCATGCTGGGACATATTCTGTATCATAGTAGTGTAGTGTAGTGTAGTGTGGTAGCTTTCATACATCAATTGGTGTTCTGCATGCCTGTTAAAGGTCACACTTCCTGGTATTGTACAAGGGTGAAATTCACTGTCATGATGAATTCTCAAATATTCATATTGTCAGTGGAGTTGAGAGATAAATTTGGAAGCTGGCAATAATGATAATAATCTAATAATAATGTCAGAATGTGTGATCTATAGGAGTCATGCAGATAAGGTAATCTGGGTATTTTGTATTTGTATTAATCAGTATTGATCATCAATGTATACATAGAGTATGATTCAATATTGCACAATTCCCTTTTTTTATTTTATATATGACCCAAAAATTTCAATGTACTGATCTTTCTATCTAAATCCTAAACCACCAGATACATTTTTTATTTAACTAGATTCACAAAGAATCGCTGGAATTGTCACTGCTACAAAATGCTGAAATACAAAAATTAAAAAGTTTTAGTATATGGTGATTTTGACCATGTTGAAAGTCCATAGTGATTGCAGCATGTTATGTTTTATATCGGCCCATGCCTTGTAGTACACAAAATACAAATATGTACTAATATTATGATACAATGTATCCTTTAATCTAGAGCCAAAATAATCGTTTGTGATCATTCACAAGCTTTTAAGCATTTGCTAATCAGGTTATTCAGCCATGTATATTTATTGTAATTTATAAAATCCAGTGTCAATCAGTTCAATTAAACTAACAAGCACATGCCACAGTAGGAATCTCATAACACAAGTCTTTATGCTCAGAAAAAAAGAAAAAGTTTCTGGTCAATTCATCATTAAATCCAAAATGAGACGTATGCAGACCTATATACAGGGACTTATGGATTGAATTCTGTGTGTGCGTCTGTCCAGTTCTGGATCCAATTAGTTGACATACATGGGCAGATCAAGTTTAAACTTCACACATATATCAGATATTCTATTAGACATGTATGCACCTTTATTTGTTTCATGATCTGATTCAAGATGGCCGAATGGCGGTCATTTTAGGACAAAAGTGCACCAAAATCACACATTTTCACTATGTCAGAAGTTCAGAACCCAATTTCATTTATGCATGGGCAGTTTCTGTTCAAACTTGGTACATACGTAGAACATAATGAGACGTCATTTCATATTTCAGATTGGACTCAAAATGGCTGACTAACGGCCATTTTGTTTCAAAGAGTGCTGTTCCTGATCCATATATATTCAACATGCTTAGACCGATAAAGTTCAAACATACACATACGTCAGTAATCGTCAGACACTATCAATTCCAAAATAGCTGACTGGCAGTCATGTTGTTTAAACCAGGGCGGTTCCACAGAGCCATATCTCAGACATGTTTTTACCAATCAAGTTTAAACTTCACACATACATGTACATCACACATTACTTCACATATATATATCGCAACTATACAAACAAGGGCTTGTCATTGACAATAACTTGTTTTATTTTTATCCCCCCATTGCCATTAATAATCGTGCTTTTATTTTGTTTTGTCATCAAAATTGAATTTTAGTTTCATTGTTTCCAAAATATTTGTAATGATTCTATAGCAAGACAGTTTTAACTGACATGCATGCTAACAGGAAATTTGAATATTTTTCTGAGCCTTAACATGATTGAGAATGTGACACTGGGTGACTAGTCATCACTGTATTTAAGGTATTCAGGTATCAATATTCTGTCTACAAATCATGAAACATCATGTAAGAATATTCTCATTGTTTTGGCAGTACAGTTCCAATTTAATGATTTTGAATTTACAGGAGAATGACAAAGAAGCAATCATAGAGGGCGCTGTCAACCCAGCCATAGAATCGCAAAGAGAGGATTTTGATGAAATATAGATTGGTGACCTTAGAAAGTACCTTGTTCTAACGTATAACTGCCAAATATGTAGCATTCCAGGGTGGACATTTTTAATATTGCTCATATAGTAGGCCTGAACAAAATGTCAGAATTTTAATTATAACCACAAATCTTAAATCTAATTTATTTGTATTTATTGAAGCTGAATTAGTCATTTAATTTGTTATTGTTATTTGCAAGTAATTGTTTTTATTTTCATTTTAAGCTGTATTCTTGGTTAGTTTGATCCAATATCTAACTCTGTTGTGTGAGGCAAAACTGTATGATTAACAATGTGATAAATATTTGAGAAATATTAGAACTTAAAGAATAGTGCATGTTTTGTTCAGTGCGAGATCCTGAGTTGTGCGTGGAATCGAACGTAAAAACAGAACAAACATAGGTCATAGCGTCGTAGTGACATCAACACTTCATGTGGGATTCAACAAACTCAAACGTGTTTTTTTGGGTATTTCCACACTTAATAATTTGATGATGGTCAATTTTGTTGATGTAAGTGTATCGCAATTGCCATATTCTACTCTGGAGTCTCGGCATTTCAATATTGAACTATGAAGGAAAAGTTCAAAATCAAATCAGTAGAATTCTGCGTCAGATATTTGATCCACTTCTTTCATGCACTATGCAAGATCTCGCAGTGAACGTAAAATCACTGATTGGTATTATCCATCCATCGATTGCAATAAAAATGACACACACGCTATCATTGCATTTATGATAAAAATAGCTTTTATAACAACATATCAAAATATGAAGACCATGTAGAAGTTCATGTGAACATTTAATTGGCTCGCTTAGTTCAACTTCATTGTAAGCAAATTATGTTTGCTACTTTAAATCAGTTTTCTGCTTGTAAATACATGCAATATGACAAGGAGGTTGACTTATTATCATTACCCGAAACTGGAATGTATATATATATTTTTTATTTAACTTTTAAAATTGATTTTAAAGCAATGTGTTTTCTAGTGTCCACTGTGCAGAGCTTCAGATGTGCCAATTCGTTTTTGTCTGTCTGTCTGTCTGTCTGTCTGTCTTTCGGTGTGTGTTGATAACCAATCTCGTCATTCATATCTTAAGTCATCTAAATCTTGTCCAGTACCAAGTAATATAAGAAAATTTAGGTCTAATGCTACTCGAGAAGTATTACAAGATTGTCATTTTTTAACTTGTACTTTTTAATTAGTTGATTTGCATTTTGATAAATGTCATTGTCTTAATCTGATGCTGTTTCTCTATTATCCAATTGACTTCCGTATCCATATACTTTTGTACAAATGAGAGATCAAAGTAGCTTTTGGTTTACATAATAATTAGAATATTGGCATTTTAATAAATTATTACTGTCACATGACCACCAAAAGGCATCTTGATCAAGGTAGAATGCTACTAAAAAGCAGAAATATTATGTGTTATTAGGTATATTGAGAAAAAATATGGGATCTGTAAAAAAATTATGCACAAAATGAAAAGTGAAATAAGCATGTTTTGTCTGTTTTAGGAAATGTTTCCAGTATATAAGTATATGTTTCACAATATTGCTTTGTGAAAACTTAACATGTGCATTGTATACAAGGTATTTGTTAATGTCAAGGAATATTGTCAAATTGATGTTATTTTTAACTGGTTTTGAAATGGTGAAATGTATTTGTAGTCTATGGAATGTGCTGTTCAACTGCCATATGCATACCATTTGGTAATGTTGACTAATACCAGAATAATACAGATTTTGTCACAAAATACTGTCACTGTTATAGATGCTAAAATATGTAAAACAACTCTGTAGTAGCATTCTACCTTAATCAGGCAACAAGTAATTTACAAAACTGAACAAAAATTGCAATACTAATTGTATCATTTATTGATTCAGTAAAGCTGCATGGGATCACTTGATAGAAGTTTTTAACTAATCATGAGAGTCAGTAGACATTTATATTCTATCCTAGTTTGTATACTACTAGACAACAAATTGGTGATTTAATTGTTGATGGATATTTGGTGCTTATATGAATATGAGATGTATTTCTGACATTCGTGTTTTAAATAAAAAGTTATTAGTAAATGTGAATCTGAGTATTTTTTTTTACCAATATTAAATTATGATATCATGTATGAAATAATTCTTATTATTCTGTTGATTGATAAGAGTAGAACACTGGTATACCCATCATCATCATCATCATCATCATCCTAGAAAAGTGCACACTCGCAAAAGTTCTTCTATGCAAGTTATGTGCGTCAATTTATTGTTCATGCCACCTTGCTAACTCAACCATGCGATGCTAGTGTCATGGGTATTCTTATTCTGCCAGTTACTTCTAATACTAGTTTACCATGCTATGCTAACTAAAGTGTGAGACCACCTCACTGAAAAATTGCAGCTCAATTCATGCCACCCATCTCAGTGAGCACTGATTGTCGAGTGGAATGAGAAAAGATGTGCCAATTTAAATGTCCTGTGAGGAGGCTCATGGGGCTGCTCAATGCAATGATCTTGTCCAACAACACTATCTCCTTGCTTCCTTCACTTTTCTTTTCAACCCAAGTTTCAGAGATTGTTGAGCTTGCCTCAGATTCCGACCTTTCAAGAAAATTTCAGAATCCTGGGATGAGGAAAGGAAGAAAAGCCATGGAACGAGTTTTTGCTAATCAATCCTCAAATTAAAGCTGGGAGAATAGATGCATGCAATAATATATCCATGCCTTGCTGCACCATTGCTTAAAGTGAAGCCTTCTCCAAAATTGTGTCCCAAAACTGCTGTTGACGATAGTCTATCATTGACAGTACCAGCTGAGAGATAAACATAAAAGTTGCCAATGATGTACTCAATTGGGACTAGATCCAACACCACCTGTCAAACCACTGATTACTGTTAACTAGTCGTTTATTCCATCTACCAGTCCCTGTTTTTTTTGAGATACTATTACTCATAGGCTGTCGCTTGGGAAATCCCATGCCTTGTTCGTATGTACAGCACACCAATGTGAAGTGGCTGTGTGACCAATACATGTGCAATCACAATCATAGGACAAGGTTTTTAGATTAGATGTCAAAAATACCAAAATACCATTGATTTTAGTCTCTGGATGAAAAAGTGACCATTGCACACACAATCATTGAGCATTGAGTTGTTTGATAATGCCATTGAAATATTACAGAAATATATATTATTAGATTCTAGTTATTGGAAGAACTATAGCATTGACCATTTTCTTTTATAACATTCAATTTCACAAAATCTGACAACATCAGAATCCACAAATTTCAATTTCAGGACAAACAAAGGAGGGCAAAAACTACACTGTATACAAAAGTCAATTCAGAGAGAGATAAATAGACCTGGAAACAAACCATGAAGTGATGCAGTTGTGGCACCTGCCACATACATACCCTGCGATATACATCTCCAACCCACAATTAGTTGGGATACCAATCAATCATATAAATACAAAACTCTGTGTTGTATCAGACAATTATATTAAAAAAAAACACCATTTGTGATAGAGAAAAACATGGAATTTTCATTCACAATATTGTAGTATCTGTCATAATACTGTTTGAATGACAGTTTTAGTCGCATGGCATTTAAATCTACCCATGAGCCTTTGCGTTTTTAGCATGCGTTGTTATCGTCGCTTGGGATTCAATTCCCGCGCGTGACGACCCCTCCGCTTTAATGTACAGAATGCGATGACTGCTCAAAATGCTTGAGTGTAATTGTTCAACTGTCATATATACGCACAATAGTCGGGAAAGATAAGAATATTACTATTAAGCTTAAGGTGTTAGAAGATTATGATGTCAAAATCATCTTTTTTGATCATAGTATGGTAAAAGCTAATGTCTTTTTTTTCATTCGTTGGGGACCTAATCTGTGTGCATTGGGGATACGAATTGGTGGGTGTGAAGTTGATGGTTCGATCTCATTATCTGGTTGCGAATGTTGGGCTCCACCAGCTAACAAGGACATTTTTTCCCTCTGTGCTTTGTTCCGTGATCTGTTTTTTTATTATGGATTTGTGGACGAGGGAATGACACCTTTTTTTGTCTTTTTGGTGAACAAAAATATAATCGAGAGAACTGCCTGGGCATGGTGTGTTGGGTGTGATATGGTGCTTCTGGTTTTTAAATTATAAACCTAAGTGTGTGGTAAACAATAATGTAAAACATTGCTCTGCATCCCAGGGTTACTTGCGAACTGGAATATGTTGTATACCACAAGGAGAAACAAAATAAATTAAATCATGTCATTAAATACGATACCAGCATTGCTAGGCATAATGTTGTGCCAATGTCCCAAAAAGCCAGACCAATCATTGGGAATGTGTTAAACCATAATTATCAATATTGATGCTTTTCAATTAAAATATAGCATCTTGGTTATTATGAAATCATATCTGATAAAAAAAAAGTTGTATACTAGTATTGTTTCCTGCAATAAACAATTACTCCAGCGACCTCTGGAGGCCGGAAACCAAAGTATAGATTCATTCCAACCACTGGTGGCGCTTTTACCCTCGCAATGAGACACGATGTACACATTATAAATTGAGCACTGTAATGAAATGCTTCAACGTACTTGAATAAATAAATATTTCATTAAGTTGTTACCATAGTGACATCACGTTCGCATGTTTGGTTCTCGCGAGGTTGTATTATTAGGATCAACAATTTGCATGTTTAAGATGGACATTTTTAACATTCACTACTGGAATTTTATGAATACATCGTTTACCAATTATGTTCAGTATTGGCGATATCGTAATGCTTTAACCTTTGATACAAATCACTTGTAATCACATGATCATGCCAACCAGAACATTTATAGTGTAAATAAAGTCTCGCAAGGAGCATTCTGATTTGTCGAGAATATCTAGGTTAGTTTTTTAAATACTAGTATGTATTTCGGAATCCGTCAACTCTATTTATAGAATCGGTTCCAGTATCGTGCCGCCGCAAAACCTTGCCTCTGCCTCTGAAGCCCGGCTTAGATAAACATAGATAAATAAATGCAGAATGTGGACTAGCCCAACCTATCGCTGTTATATATATAAGTTCCCCCGCAGTATAATAACGAATACCGTTAAAGGCAACATGAAAAACATGAACGGTAACTAATGTACGCGCCAGACAGAGACTGGAAATCTAGTTTACTATATTTACGTTATTTCGTACATCAGTGGAGACAGCATCTGCAAAAGAAAACGCCCTCAGTGTTGGAAAATATCACTGGACCGGTGCATTCGTTTTTTCATATTTCACTAAAATCGATTATCTTTTCTTCGCCAACTGATCCATGTTTTGACGTCTTGGGAGATCACTAGAAATAAACACTTTTTAAAGTCTTTTTTGTTTATGCAAATGTCCCCCCCCCCCATTAGAAATTGGACGAAGCAGTGTGTGCATTTATTTCACGTTTTCGTCGGATTGTCGTGGTACAAATGCTAATATTAATATAAAACTTACCATTAAATCTCACTCGAAATGTTTGTCCTCAAAGTGGTCTTGACAAAAACGGTTAGTTTTGCACATACAAATTGTTTTTTATCGCCAGAATTCATAGATCTTAAATTTTCTACAGAGAGCAGCAGAAGCCTGACTTCCACCTTCTTTTAATCACACCTCAATTTGAGCTGTTTCGTTCGAGTGACGTTTACAAGATACCGACCACAAGTGTAGCTGTTACACTAGAACCAGCTGCTCGTGCGATTAAGTAGAAAAACACTGTCACAAAGATGATCTCAGATTGCTTCAATGTCACTTGTCTGATGTGGACATGATGGTATATATAGAACCCATTTGATTATGAAACACATGTGGGGCAAGGTGTGTTCAGTCTTTTTCAAAACACTTGACATTTCAGACATTTCGTCTATCTTACATAAAACATACAACATCACTGAAAGTGTGATGGTAACACAAAATCCGGCCATGCTGTCATATATAGCACTGTATATGTCTTATCCATCTAAAGCCCTGAAATTACAGATAACATAATAGTTATACTACCTAGTTTTGTTTTTCTGCTTTCTACTGTAACAATTTCTATTGTGTTCATTTGTTTCGTTTTGTTTTTCTAGTCACAGCCGAGGTATATATATATAAATGTGCGTTACATTTATTTATGTAAATGACAAATTGAGTCCTTATTCGTGAATAAACAACCTCCTATTATCTCATCTTCCAATGGAATAAATCAATATGTTTAAAGTATGAACACGTACGTTTTATTGTGTGTTAAATGTTTAGTTCCTCACATTCAAATATCTTACGAACTAAGAAATTATAACCATCGGTAAATGACTTGTTGGAAATTAAAATACCAGGAATTCCGTTCACTCCGAATATATAGCACATTGGCCAGTATCCGTAGCTTATTTGAAAGGCGGTAGTCGTCGTGCCACTCATGTGCGACATTTGTTTTGATAAACTTAGGTTTTTTCATAATTCAATGCGCTTTTTGAATTAAATCATGAGTGCTAGTTTTGTTCGATACCTTCCAAACACCAAAACAAATATCTAATTAAAGCTTGGCAACTTCTCAGTTTGTACTAGTTGGTGTGCGCAACAGTCAGAATCGCTATCTTTGTTTATATGAGACCTATATCTTGCGCATGTGCGGCGCGACGACTACCGGCCTTTAAAATAAATAACATTGGGAATTATGGCCTTGTACGAATCATAGCCATTTTCTTCGTTTTCTACACATAGTTTCTTTCTTTCCTCGCCCATTATTTTTCGACACTAATTTTGGAAGCGTGTTATGGCAATATTTTGTAAACATTGGTTTCAATAATCTGTTGTCGTCATTGTATATGACGTTGTTACAAACAATTAATTAACTTCAGTATCCCCGGGCTCTCCACAGTTAATCAACATTTCTTTTTTAAACGATTCGTTTTCTTTGTTGCTTCATCTTCCTCTATCTAGATTATTATTTTTTTCTGTCACTGTCACAGTTAATCAACGCCAATACTTGTTGCATTTGTTCCATTTCACCTCGGGAAATAACACAAATCGCCCATATACTTAATAATTAGTGACTATTATTACGTAATCTCTATTGATACACTCCAATTAACTCCTAATAATTTCTATCAACACAACATATTTATGTTAGCAAAGTTGTCATGTGCGAATTACAAGCATCAACCGTGTGGATATACTAAATGCTTGACTTCAATGTGATTTTCCCATTACGGCAACACCTTAAAAAAATATTACGTCAGATATTCATTTTGAAAATCTAGCACTTATAAACGTGTATTTGTACATATCGTTTTAAATGACATACTGAATAAATACACTCATTTAATGGATATATGTAATGCTGTTCTTAAAACATTGAATTGAATGTGATGAAGTAATAACTGATTAAGAGCGCATAACATACAAATTGCAACTGTAACAAAGAAATATTAATGACAAATTATATGCTTTCTTTAAGTTTTCAAATGTGCCTTAAAATCATTAATATTGTTTTATTTTTCTAATGATTTGGTAGAGCGTTTCACAAATGTAGTGCGCATACAGCAGATGTTCTATCACGACATGTTACTAAACGTGACATTGAAAATAAGTTTGATGATTTTGAAGATGACCTTAGGGTGTACAAAAATGATAAGTGTGAATGGAACATTTCGGTAATATATTTGGGGACCGGCCTAGCCATAGAGGGCTATCTATGCTAACAACAATATTGTGTATACAATCCGATCCTTATTGGAAGCCAGTGAAGAGAAATCAAAGTGGGTCTAATGTGATCATATTTTCTTTCTTTTCAAAACGGTCCTAGTTGCTGCATTATTTGCCCTCTAAAATTTAGATAAATTGACATTCGTTATACCACACAATAAACAGTAATCCAGTCTCGATCCCACGGGAGTATGGACAATAATCTCGGTAGTTTTTGTTGAAATGCATTTTCTGATCTGGGATATCTTATGTAAATGATGAAATTATGATTTTGTTACCCGACTAACATGGCTTGCCATATTAAAATGTTTATCTAAGATCACACTCAGATTACGGACATCATCTCTGACAGAAATGAAAGTATCACATTTTCCAGTACCAGTTCGTTATTTAAGAATTAGTAAACTTGAAAATAATAGCCTTGTAAGAGACATTTTCTCCGTTTCCAACTCATAGTTTATTTCTTTGCTCGCCCGCTATTTTCTTCGTTAGTTTTGGAAGTGTGTTATTGCAATATTTTGTCAACATTGGTTTCAATAATCTGTTGTCGTCATTGTATATGACGTCATTAAAAACAATTACGTAACTATAAACCTCTCCTTTTATAATTGTAATCCTCGGGCTCTTCACAGTTAATCAAAATTTTCTTTTTAAACGATTCTTTTTTTGTTGTTGAATCATCTTCCTCTAGATTATTATTATTATGTCACAGTCCCTGTTAATCAACGCTAATACTTGCTGCATTTGTTCCATTTTTCCCCAGAAATGACAAACATCGCCAATATACTTAATAATTAGTGACTATTATTACGTAATCTCTATTGATACACTCCAATTAACTCCTCATCCTCTCCATCAATACAACACCTTTATGTAACCAAAGTGACCATGCCTGGATTACAATCATCAAATGTGTGATATACTAAATGCTTTCTCATTTCCCAACTTTCTGTCAGATATTCATTTACAAACGTACATATCGTTTGAAATTTACACACCGAATAAATCCAATCATTGAAAACATTAAATTTGTTCGACATCACTTTTCCAGGAGTTCGCGATACTGTCAAAGTCAAAAGTATACCTGCAAACACTTTGGTCTTATATCAAGGAGAATGCTTAGAGGATTATTTTAATTGTTTTAAAACAATCAAATGCCGAATATTTAGCCATTATTAGGGAAAATAACCACACAACCCACAAATTGTCTATTTGAATATAATAATATGTATGACGTGTGTGCTGTTATATCATTTTTATTAAATTGTTATATATATTTGTAGTACGTCTCTAACACACACAAAAACACAGGAACCATGGTACAATTACTGGCTAAATACATATAATATTTATATATCTTTTCCAATACCGCGTATATTTCTAAATTGATTTTGATAGTTATTCGGTAATCGGTTAATAATATTCAGGCCTTTCATTTGACCGACTACTTCACCTGTCTTGTGATACTCAATTGTAATGAAAAAAATGTAATCCTATATCTTTTTTATAGAGCTAAAGGTGTTCAATTAATCTTTACATTTTTGTTTACTGGGTTTGTCTGTTAGCAGTTTTTATTCGACACCCAGTACAGATTCAAAAAAAGAAACACACGATTCTAACTCGATCAAAACAATTGCCCCACCATTGCAGACAGACGCGATACCTACTACATCACTTTCACTGCGCCAAAAAATGCAGTTCGAAATAACGTATTACAAGTCATTAAAAATTACACAAGGGTCCAAGTAGAGAACTGTAAACCATGGCCCACATTGCACAGTTTTGATGGTATATAATTTCCCTTCCATTCAATCCAAAATGAAGACTAATCGTAATGCACTTAGCACATAATATCATAATTTTAAACCCAATTTGTGAGAAATTGATTAACGTCTTTCTATAATCCAACATGGCGGCAAAATAGTATGACTGATATATTCAAATAGTTTTTTGTCACAAAAAAGGTCTCCACAACCATGTAAAATACCAGATTACTTGATAATCTGTTCAAGTTGATTTTCACATAATGCTTAGCAAATATATAAGATGGCCACCAAACCACGTGACTTGATATTCCATGGGCTTACTAAAATCTGCTGTACCAGCTTTGTCAGCTCTTTGAAGGGATAAAGTTAGAATTAGTTTGTATTCAAAATGGCGTCCGTCATTTAAATCGACAACTGTGTTTGGCTGAGTTGTCGTTCGTCATCTACAACATGAAAAAACATACCCCAGTTTCACTCACTGTCGTGAAACACATCATCTTCATTGGTGGACAACCATAGATCAAAACTTGATCGACGCTTTGAACAGTGACGCATAAAAGCTTGTAACAATGTATACAACTATTGTGTTCAGGTATTATCCTGCTAGGGAAAATAAAACTATCCTTTGCCATAAATTTAAATTTGTTTCAGTTATTGCTTCACAGTTTCCATGATTTAAAAAGTAAAATGTGTATAACAACGTGCCAAACTTAATATTACTTTTTTCGGCAATTTTAGTTTATTCGTTCCACATGTTTAAATTTCCACATGCAAACTTCAGAATGTGGAGGCAATTTGAAAGCTTACTACGTTTGTGTCAATTTCATCGATGATCATCGTTCATTGCCCGCTGGCCAGCATGTATGATATAACAATTCGACGTCTGTAGCGCGTTATCCAATAACTCCCATCAACAAGCACATTATTATGGGGTGTAGTGACGAGGGGTGTTATTTACATATATACATCAACATTACATAAATTCAATACATTTTGCAGCCACTAGTGTAGAAAGCGTCGGTCAGAGAACATTGTCGTTAACTTCTACTTCATTAGCGAATTCATCTGATATACTAGAGGATATCACCGCACCCCAAGAAATACGTTTAGGACTTTTCCCGAGATCATTGTAATGGATTTATCTGACGTGGCAACAAATTCGACTGAAACGTTTTTAGATGCCATTGCAACGAATTCAGCTGAACAGTGTATCAATACCATTCTATCAAAATCAACATGTGACACGGCTCTCGATGATATCGCAACAAGTTCATCTGAAACATTTTTCGATGTCACTACAGCGAATTTGACAGACACGTTTGTTGATATGACAGCACAGAATTCAACTGGCACATATTTTGATATCAATGCAACGAATATAACTACAGAAGTATTCGGCATCGTTGGCGTGAGTTCATATGAGTCAGTTTTCGATATCGTATCAGCGTGCTTGTACATCTGTGTTGCTTTGGCCGGAGCTACCGGTAATATTATGGTGTGTTATATTGTATATACGAACAAGAAACTAAGAACTCCGTCGAACATTCAGCTTGTATCGTTGGCTATAACAGATGTGTTAGTTTGTACCTTAACTTCATTGACGCGGTTTGGTTTCACAGTGAACAGTCTTCTGCACGGGGAAATCAATATAAAAGGCCCGCTGTGTACTTTTCAGATATTTATTTTGTACTCCTCATCTTTCACAACTATAATTTCTTTGGCAGCTATCAGTGTTGCAAGAGCGATAGGTGTGGCAGATATATGCTCACGGAGCACCAAACGGAAGGTTATCTTCATTTTGATTGTTGTCACTTGGGTTACTGGGATAGGATATGGTACATTGAAGGCATGGGCCGGGGAAGACCTCACATGCAATCTAGAGCCAATAAGTCAGGTAACAAGAAACGCGTCAAGAGGTGGCATACTCATTGTATTTCTATCGCTGTTAACAATGGTGGTGTCATATTCCTACATCTACCATGTGACCAATCGACATGAAAAATCATTTCAACGAGCCATGGAGGCAGCAGGCAGCCGCCGACAAACACAACGCAAACCAATGAACCTTGCAACATTGAAAGTATTCGTGTTACTCATTTCTATGTTCACAATATCATATTTACCGGCTGCATTATATGGTTCGCTTGTAGTCAATATTGATAGACTTAGAAACGAACATTTCGGCAATTTCATATTATCATTGGTGTGTTTTGGCAGCCTGATAAATCCTATAATATACTCCTTAACCTCCAATCAGTTTAAAAATTACTTACCTTTTAATAAAAAGACATCTATCAACGAAATACAGCTAAGACAACGATATAGAACTGGAACGAAACCCCCAGTAATAACACCCATTATATAATACGTATTAATCGCTATACGCAACTATATTTGCACGTTAGTCCATCTCTTTACTTGGAAACAATGACAAAACGCAACCACATGACTTTATTTCACAAAAAGTAAACATGAGGGAAACTTTCCATGGAGAATATTGCAAGGGATTATTTTAATGTTTGCATTTTTTTTGTATTTCTTTACTAAAACGTTTGAGACACGCACGTCCTTGTCAAACTTATCAACGAACGAATTATTGACAAACACTATTAGTTATGTTTGGATTAACATAAGTTAGCATGCTTAACTAATATAGACTAGTAATATGTGTTAATTATATTTACATGTTCTTTAGAAGAATTAAAGTTATGTTAGCTCAAGGAAATCTAAAACTGTGTTTATTCGAATAACATAACGTAGAACCCCCAAAACCTCCGACAGTGTGTATTGTGAATAATATTATAACAATAATAAAAAAATGAGGTTGAGTCTTGTTGTTTTAGTTCTATCATTTGTTAAGAAAAGTGAATGATAATTTATGATATTTTGAAAAGTATGTATTTATTTTCTCATTTGAATAAAGTGAGAAATAGCTTTAAATTATGATGAAAACCGTTCATATTGAAGTGGTTATAAGATATGATTGATTATTAAATTAAATACGTTGTTAAAAAACTCTAAATGTGAATAAAATAAAATAAAAAAAAATAAAAATGTATTTCTAAAATGTTACTGAAACAATAATTTAATGAATTATTTTGATTCAGCTTGGTCTACACTAGATTTGTATCTCTCATTTTTAGTGAATAGTTTCGAGTTTTGTTTGGGAAATGTTAACGCAAGTTTGCATGTGTCACTAGTATTAGAAAAAAAAACTATTTGTGATGTTAACATAAATGTTCCATTATTAAGTTGTTAGTCTGGATTAGTTTTATCAGATGAGTGCATCTCAGTTAGATTTGTCCATATTGTAGTCTTCTAAATTAACTAAATATACAAGCTATAATATTACATCTATATTGACCCAGAAATATGTATAACTTAATGGTTGCTACATATTCATGATTTTCCATTTCTAACAAATATTTGTGCATATTTTCAAAAAGGCAACCAATCACACTTAAATATAATAATATATGTTCCATAGATAATTTTACTGGTATTCGTTTCTTTCCTGATAGTGTCAACAATTTTCTCTGTCAGTATTTTCTCATGTTTGATCGAAACTTATAATATGTTCTTGAAACATTTTGCTTATTTTTTTAGAGTTTTCTGTCTGTAATATTGACATCTTTTCATTTGATTATATATTGTATAGTGTAGATTTCAAATAGCGTAGCGTAGACAGGCTGCTTGTTTCTATATGGGCTTTTATTTAGATCCATCCAATGTCAAATGAGTTTGAAAACTATTTCCGTCATGCCCATGATCGAACTATGTATTTCGGCTTCAACCACCTGGACGTTTTCCAGACAGTGACATGGTTACTCGTCCAATAACCCGGACCACAGGATAGTGGGACTGTGCCCAGACTCTCGAAAAAAAGACTTACACTGTTTTTACATTAACACCTCAAATAAATCTACTTATCGCTATGGAAACACGCAGCTTGTTTGAGGTGCACTTTGCTTTATTTGTTCAAAGACTTTTCTAATGTCTTTGATTAGTATTTCATAATGCTTGTAATTTGACGTGGTTTCTTTGTAATTTTTCACTTTGACTGTACCGTACTGTGAGTATGAAAGAAATGAAATAAACTCCATTCTTTGGAAACGCGTTCTTCTTCATTTCATTCCTTTTGAAGAGTCCCGTTTATTTTAAAGCATGGCATAACAGGTACTGTAGCCACATGAAAATGCGTTCATGTAAACAAATCTGCGTACACCATATACAAGTATCTATCAGTAACATTGAAATTATTTAGTACCGGCAATTCGAGTTTTGCCTTAGTTTAACCCAAAATCACACTGTGATGCTGTATTTTGACTTGAAGTTCGACATCCGACGAAACGTTGAATTCCAGGTTTCCCATTGGTTTTGTGTTCTTGGGAGAAATATATTAAAAGGATGATTTTGGGCATTATATTTGACAAAACAGAGGGGGGAAAATATGTCAATGTGCTTTTCAAATGGAAATCACAAGTATGAGGTTTGACCTGGGCGAGACACTGATTACCGCCGGTGACTCCTTCGATATCTTCCAATCACGTACAAATTACCTAATTATAATTAAAGCTTGGAATCGTTTCAGTTGGTACTCGTTGATCTGTGCAACAGTCAAAGTCGCCATCTTTGTTTATATGAGACCCATGTATCTCACGCATGCGTAGCGCGACGACTACTATTCATTTTCATTGTTACACTTTTCACTCAGGCACGAATGTGAGTGATTTGTCACAAAGACACGTGCACCATCTACGAACAAATTGCCCCCCCCCCCGCACTTCAAATATCAACGTGCTTACCATGATTAAGAGAAGCTGAACACGTTTGTAAACGAGGGCGAGAGGGGGCGTCATTTTATTTTATTTTATTTTATGCATTTAAAATCCTTTGAACTATTTTTCAAATTATTACATTTAAAATATTAATGAACATTTTTCATACTAGTATGCTAATTATTTGTATTTGTATAAGTACACGTTTTGAAAGCTTCATGTTTTATATATGTTGACATAATTTTCTGCTTAAAATTATCGGAAACACGCTCTCTATGTTTAATCAGTAACGTAAATTGGCCTTCCCTGATTCGGCGGTACAACTAAAAAAAGATTTCCATGTTAAACAGTGGACACATATTTTTAACCCTTACCAACCAAAACCTAAGTATTCTAAAATTATTTTTTTATCCTCCGACATAAATTTTTGTCCCAAAATTATCAGAAAACCTTGCTCTAAGTTTAGTCACGGGCATAAATGTGTCCTTCCTAATGAGACGAATACGCAACTAATGGAATCGAAAGATTCCGTGTTAAGCACGGGACAATCTTAACGCCACTAAAAAATGTAAATATTCTAAAATTGTTTCACTGGTGAGGGGCAAACATTTTGGCCTTCACTAAAGCGACTAATAAAACACAGATTGCAAATAACCTTATTATTAACGCCCTCTATGGCATATTAGCAACGATACAATGTATTATGTAATAGTGTAACAGCTCAAATAATATCAACCTTCACAATCAATATAATAACTATATTAATATCGCCCTCTGTGGCATTTTAGCAAAACACTATTCTGCGAACAGAATATGTGGTTGAATGGGGATTTTCGATACTGAGGAGATGTAAGTGTATGATTATACGCATTCTGGAACCAATACAGGTCGATGCCTATTAGTGTATATTGGAGTATGCAAATGAAATTTACAGCAGAGACATATGAAATACGACCATCGTTTAGATTGCATCAACTATTGTAGCGAAATATTATATAAATGAAATCACTCTCAGTCGAGTCAGTCAGAATGCGGGTGAGGATGAGAATGGAAGAAGGAGAGAGCTGAGACACTAAATACATGTATTGATTTGATTGCTTGGAACCTCACTAAACACGTGGGTAAAATAATGTATGCTACGGGGGACAATTTCTGAGTGAAAGTGTATATAAAAACATTTACTTAGTGAGGATCGAGTTATGGCTGAGCATGGAATATGTGAAATCTTGCACAAATTGGAAGGAAATGATTTTTTTTTTTGAATGACGTTTACCGATATCGTAACTAATTGAAGTCTTTCCATTTTAACCTTGTTCATATGTGCTGACGGAGTGCTGAATCAATGGGCTAAAACTGTTATTTGTTTATACGTGACAGTGGTTTATATTTAAAGGGCGGTGGTCGTCGAGTCACGCATGCGTGAGATATGGGATTGTTCATATGAGCAAAGATGGCGACTTTGACTGTTGCGCAGATCAACGACTCAACTGAGACGTTACTGAGCTTTAACGATGTAATTTCTATGGTGATTTGACGGTATCGAAGAAGTCGAAGGTAATCATTAGTGCACGTTGTGCCCAGGTCAAAACTCGTACCCGCGATTTACATCAGAAGGGCGCATTGGATTGTGGGAAAATCAATGTTTATCAACACAAATGCCGCACATGCGCGGCACCCTTTAACTCGGCGCTGGCACCAATTCACGTACACCTTCCTGCTTTGTGAACATAATAATTAAAGATGACGAACTTCAGTATATATAACAGCATAAAGTTACATAAAGAGAACGAATTTCATTTTATTTTTCTATTTGTATGTCATTTCTTTGAATTCTTACGCCAGTTGTACATCCGTCCCATTGAGAAGTTCATATCTCGCTTTGCATTGAAGCAAACAAGTTTTGTATCAAGCTAATTTGTGTGTTCGTTCTTTTTTTGTAAAAGTCTCAATCTGGGCCAAGACCTGTAAAATGGTAAAGATAAAAAAAATTGTGAAGATGTATTTTAAAGATATCAAATGACATAACAAGTACGCTAAACTAAAAAAATCAAATATTTATTGTTGGCCGGTACTTTTACATAATACAATATGTAACAATACAAAGTCCCTTTAACACTTTACGAGTATAAAACATTGTTTAAATTCTTGTTCGATTAAAGTTGCATCAATATTTCTAAATGTGTTGTATCCTTTTCAGTGAGGAGTTCGGGCCATCTGTCGTTGTCCACTGATATGTAGCCACTGAGGGCGCGTGTGTGGGACGCAGAACAAGCGCACCGGTGTTCCTAAATATATGCATATTCATGTGTTCTCACTAGGAAGGTCGGTACTTGCGCACCTTTTCTGTTCAAATAACGTCGTTAAAACGGAAGTTGTTCTGTTAAAGTACAGGGGAAGTACGGTGTGGGTTCGAGTAGTACAATGTCGGAAAAAGGTGAGTCGAATAAGTAAAGCCGTTTTTTATCATTAATGTGGGTAAACCTGCAATTGAGACAACGGGAGAGGATCATACATGAGCGGAGATGGAATAGTACTGTTAACTGTGAATCTTATTAATCGTGTAATATGTGCAAGACTCCGCTGTGTTTATCGAGGTTACGACTGGTTTGAATAGCGACACGTACGCATATGTCTAATTCCGTAATTCTGCAAGTCCATTCTTAGACTATCCCAGTGACATATACACCCTATACTACAATGATGGACATCCAACCAACAAAATACGTCATTTTTATTCAATTGATTTCATTGTTAAATTAACGCAAATTGATCAAATAATAATTTAACGAAAATGGTTATTATATTTAATATAAAAAAACGCAAATGCTATGCGAAATATATATAACAATATGTTGTTGTCTCTTTGCAGAAAATTTAGTTCCACCACCATACAACGGTTATAAATCATCGTCATCCGCCGAGGACGACTGCGTGGTTAGTAAAATACTGTTTGGAAGTTTGTGTTACTGTTTTACATTATAATGCACTGGGAAACAACGGACTACTGTATTCGCCTCGCACTAAACTAGTTTGTATTTACATGGCGTTTATGTGTGCGTGACCCATTAAACCCAATCTCCATTCATTGTCTAGGACAGTAACAAGGGACGCTTTGTTCGTCTTACACGAGCCTCACTCACTCACCGCACTGCTATGGGAAATGTAAAACGAGTCTGGACATATGTGTGTAAAAATATAGAACAGTCAAATGAACATTATTGTGTGTATGACATTAAATAAAATTATCACAAAGTTTGATTTGATCAAAAATATAACTCAGTGATTCTGTATCGTTTTAATACACTATGATAATCATGTTGAATTCCAAACGACGACGCAAATCTCCCGACATTCTAAACGTCTGGGACCTTCACCGGCTTGACCATTGACCTGTATCAATTAGATTGCCCAACATTCACTTCAACGGAAGTATGTTTTAAACTTAAAAACTTTTAACGAAAATTCTTACTGGCTACTTGAAACAAAAATACAAGTGTATGTCATATTTTGAATCACGTGATTGACGTGTTCATTTGACACTGCTCGAGATCTGGAAATTTCCTGTACTTTATTACTAGTATATATATGATAACTTGAAATCGTACACTTGTGTACTTAACTCTTGCTGACCCGGGGTATAAACAACATCTACCTTAATTTACCACGTTTTTATTGGCTTAATATTTTGAGAGCGGCGTAGATTCGAAAAAAAAAAACTTGAGAAAAACTAGCGCACAAGAGTAGCCGTACTTGTGCAGAACTGTGTCTTGGGAAAACAATATTTTGATAGAGAGAACAAAATACAACGTTATCCAGTAAATACATTTTCTTAAACTGAGAATAGACAATCGATAATTTGTTGTTTTACGGTGTTTCTACCATCACTTGAGTCATCACCATCCCTGCCCACCTTACTACGGCACAATTACTAGTAGTTTTGATTCACTCAACCAAGCTTCCGGTGACGCAATATGGACGATCGTGCATGCTGATGATCGTGCTGGATTATTTTTTTATAATTGTAAACTTTAATTTGTCCTTAATGTAAAACACAAATGGTCAGTTATTGTGCGTACCAAAATTACCACTGCGCATGCGTATTAGAAAACATGCGTATTAGAAGTCGCAATCTAATGTCAGTATTTATCAACATACAGAATCATAATTGACACGTGGGCCTCCATGATGATGCTAACTTAACATATATCTACTCCACATACAGGTGACACAGCTAGGATCATGTTCCCTACAACCACATTCCGTACAAGTTACATTAAAGCCACGACCACCTTTAACGAATCCTCCACCGGATTACCTCTACTTTGCTGTGGCTGTCACGCTATGCTGTTTCTGGCCGACGGGACTTGTCGCTATATTCAGATCAATGGACGTAAGTCAACTTGCAGTAGTACATTTTAAAAATTTTTACTGAATCGAGGGAATGTGCTTTTGACAAAATTGGGCGCCGAAGCTGAGGTATTTTTGTGAAATAATGCATTAACACGAATTCCTTATAGAAATTGTACTGAATTTTTTATCAGGTATTCTCCAAAACAATGTTTCGAACTGCTGCTTTCAATTTTGAAACAACAAAATGTTAGAAAAAAGAAAACGCGTATAATTGCGTTCGAGTTTTTTTGTTGTTGCTCATTTAAGTGTATTACATAACACAGATCGCGTTTATGAGAAGCTTGATGTCCGACGTTCCATATATATATATATATATTCCGTCGGGTCTTTTTGCAGCCATATAATTATGCAAACAATGAACCACCTATTTATGTGTACCATGCAAGGCTCAGTTACAATGAGAGATATTTTCAAGGACACTATACTACCCATTCAGAGCAAAAAAACAAAACAAAAAAACAGTGTAAATCTTGTCTAAGTAGGACACTCACATATACCGGTATTTTGTGTATGCGTATATTCTTTCTCATGTAGTATTCTTTCAAAATCCTTAACCGATTTAAAGCAAAATTGCAAAAAATTACACTTTTGTATACAAAAAGTAAAATATTTAAAAAAAATCGTCCAGACTTGCGCAAAATTAGCAAAAACATAACCAGTTTGTATTTATGATACTGGACCATTGCATTGTGATACTATGCAATAAGAAATTGGATGTAATATGTAATCGATCATCATAAAAAAAAACGCCCCTGGCCCGCAGCATGCATAGTGGATATGTATATACCTTTACAACACAATCGTATTAAATAACATTTTATCTTTTTTCCAGGTTCGAAAGTCGGCAACACGTGGTGATTCTTACTCGGCAGTTGAAGCATCTCATTCAGCTAAACAGTTGTCATGGATATCGCTTGGTATTGGAGTATCTATTATATTCACTGCTACATTATTGTACGTACTTTCCAAAAGAGCTTAAACAGACATATACCTGCCATGATATTAAATGAAGACTGAGTTAATAATTATGTAGGTATCCCATGGTTACTGTACGATAGGCGTAACGAACGTTTACCTGCGTATATGCAAATAGGATCGAAGCAAAAGAACGAACTTATCAAAACCAAAGGAACTGATAACTAGCGCCCTTTAGTGTTGAAGCACTTCCACATTTTAAAGTTCGTTTAAGGTAGAAGTCTAATCATAAATTAAATAACCCAGAATTTATTCATTTTGCAACAAACTGTACTCGAAGGCAATATAGGGATGTTGACTTCAAAAAAATTAGGGGTCACCAGCCTTATTTTCGAGATATTGATGGTTTTATTTTAGTGGAAAGTCGCCATTTTGGCACAATCATAATGCTTTTACCACAGGTTCCTATGGCAGAGATATTATGCAATATCTCAAAATCTAGCCTGGTGACATAGGCTGAAAAAAATCATATATTGTTGATGAAGGAGTACTTTTTGTTGTTCTGAATTATTTTAAAAATCTGGGTTTTAAAAAGTGTCAAAAAATGCAATTTTTCTTTAACATTGTGTTCTATAGAATTGTTCTAAAAATAGCGATTTTCAAGAAATATTAGAACACGTTTCTCAAAAAACTTTACTGTAACACACAAAATAATGCTATTTCATTGTACCGTGGGACATTAGCTTCATGATTGTACATAATAAACTAATGAACATTGTCATGCGATTTATGACCAATTTTGTCAAAAATTATGACAAGGCTTCTGTAGTGAGTAGTCGTCGTGCCGCGTTCTGTTCAATATGGGACTCATAGCGACGTATACAACACGTGTAAAATACGTTGTTTATTTACATGAAATTCGAACACACGCTTCGCGACGATCACCGCGCTTTAAATCAAAAACTGTTTTAGTGTGGAGACGTTCTTCGTCTAGATTAAAGTGAAATGTCTCAAAAACATCATTGATGAATGACTACGAAACAAAAAGATATTGACGCTTCGAACGACCTGCGTCGGAGGAGTGTCTCATCTTTAGAGGGCAATGGTTGGATGGATGAGAACGCGTAATTTTTTTGAAAGACAGTACAATATAAATTTATACAATACGAGTATAGTGTTTTCCAATTACAACAAAGCGTCTGATATTGCAAAACCTCAGTTAATTTGGTTTGTTAATTGTTCAACTTTTATTTGTTTCTTTTATAAAAAGTAAGAGAAAAACTACTAGAATGAACCACATCATTTCTGTTGAAAAAAATCTCTTTTATTAATAAATAACAAAAAGTATACAACATTTTTTTTTCATAAAAATATATACTTATCGATGTAATAATGTTTTTTTTCAATGCTGAGCAGGTGTAATCAAATATATTTTAATCCAGCATTATTTTAAATAAATAAATAGCATAGGTAATGTAAATAAATTGCATGTATAGCTGAACTTCACCAAATGTACAAATGCATAAATATTATCAGATATTATTAGAATGTTACATAGTAGATGCAAATCTTGTTTTTTGAAAATCTCAAATTGTGTAAATAACTTATCTTACAAATGTATAATGTATTATTAAACACTGACAACACTTACTGAACTCATGTCTTGTGTATGTTTATTGTGTGTCTATGATATTTTATTTATTTTTGTATACAAATATTTTAAATTCAAACTGAAAATTAATGATACAGGGGTACCTGTTAGCTTTTGTGTATTGGTGCCAGTGATAGAGCAATCAATTACTGTAAAGTACTTTACATTCACTTGGAATTGATTATCACTGAAGGAACGAATTAGTGAAAATAACATCCAGTGGAAATACCTTTTTTTCCTTTATTTTACATTCAATTCATCAAAAGTCAGCAAAAAAAAAATCATACAAAAAAACCAAACCTGCCTTTTAAGAGAAAATTAATTCGAGCTAAAATAAAGTATTTTATAGTGAATCATTCTCTTAAAGATAACTGATACAGGTAACACATTTAAACATACTGGTATATGCAAGTATCATGGTTGTTACACAGTACACTTTGAATTCCCATGTAAACAACATGTACTATATACCCCATCATGGGAACCTCAAAATGAAGGAAATAGCATTTGAGAGGGTCTAGATTTCAACATTTTTAAGGGGGAGTATGCCCCCAGACCTCCTAGTAAGGTTGGACTTTCAGCGAGAGGTTCAGCCTCTGGCTATGTGTGACATCTGTAAGCTTTAATACGACGCAGGGACAGCAATGAATAAACAATAACGTATATGAAGATAATTCCACACTAAGTCTGATAACATGGTGTACATGGTACTGATCGGCCAATGAGAATGTGGCATTTCAGTAACAATTAATGCAAGGTGATATATTAACATATATAACAAAAATTCCACATTATGTAATGCCTTGATAAACAAACTCCTCATTTCCTTTGCGCTGCATCTATCAGCCAATTAAATGCTGGTACGATACCACTCATATTATCAATGACGACATCATGGACCTATGAACGGAAACAACAAAAAGAACTTCTGTTATTATCTACGGATCACATGCATCAATAATTCAGTGTGTAAAAGTGTAAAAAAAAAAGAAAATTATAAATTAGTGCAGTATTAACTAAGTTTAAAGAGAGGTGGTTGCCGTGCAGTGCATGTTTGAATTTCATGCAAACAAACAATGCATTTACACACGTTGTATATGTCACTAAGAGTCCTATATCGAACAGCATGACCACCGCCCTTTAATTATTTTGAATGTTAAGAAATTCAATTGCATGCATAAAATATTCCATCAATCATAAGTATTGTTCCAAGTGTTTTTTTTTGTGCACTGGCAGTTATACACAGACAGATAGACAATATATAGCTCACCTGCCATGGCCCATTCAGCTGTTGTAACTGTAGTCCCTTAACCACTTGAATGCAAGGAATTCTGGGTGTTGTGACTTCAGGGATGCAGGAAGCAACTAAGAGTGGTGCATTGTGGGTAAGCCCAGCTTCTTTCATCACTGCAAATAATTCAGATTTACCAACTTCGACTGTAAAATAGAAAACATAAATCAATGATGAGATAAAAATAGAAAAAACAAATTATTTGAATAAAAACCTTTAAATACTGTACTTTTTCAAACCAAAATTTTATATCAACATTTCGTAGATATATTTTCCTTTCTAATTTGAAAATTAGTGTTGAATATGTCGTTGCCATCTTTATCTGATCGGTTTCATATGCTGTACTGCAGTCTGTGATTACATCTAATCTATTTTTAGTAACATCTTCTAATCGTAACAGACACTATTACAGTCAAGTTTGTGATATTCTATTAAGGTAAAAATATTCCCTGAAATGTACATGAATCCAAGGGGTTTGGAACTATTGTAGTAACTTGTTCTTAGACACACACGCATAGATTCCAAGGCAGTGCTCTCCCCAAAATGTAAAATTTACATACTAATTTACTACTAAACACCTACAAAGCACTGAATGACATGTCACCTTGTTATATATCAGACTTAATTCACTTCAGATCTTCACCTCAGGAACTTAGTTCAACGAATAAGGAACTCTTACATGAACCAAGATACAAATCAGAATCATTCGGCAAACGTTCGTGCTGCACCACGGCTTTGGAACACATTACCACTTGAACTACACAACTCACCAACATTAAACAGTTTCAAGACTCAACTTAAGACTCATCTTTTTAGGAAAGCTTTTAACAACTAGTCATCTCTATGCACAGCGCCATTGAACATTACCTTGTTTTGGATACTGGCGCTTTATAAATTATTATTATTATTATTAATTTGCATAACATTTGTATGTTATTTGCATAATTATTGTACTCATTTATGCACACAATTATTCACTTAATTCACTAATTGCATCAAGTACACATGCAATGGCATAGTAGAAATACTCCACAGAGCCAGCCACGATGATGATTGATGATGTCAGAATAGTGTGGATGTAAAAAAAATATACTGTAATTATATGGCTTTGTATCCTGGGGAGAACACTGCAAAGCTACAGACTATGAAGTGAAGAATATTTTTCTTATACGTACTGAAGTTACTGTCAGCAGTAGATTCCACAATAAATATAAATCCGTCCACAGATCTACAGAGATCTTTGAGTACATCTTGAAGTTCATATTCGGGTATGTTATCATTTATACCATCAGGATGGTGTCTGGCAGCGACAAGAAGTCGGTTTCTCTGTGCTCGATTCTGCATGTTTCCATTTTCTCTTTCACTCCTACAATGAAAGCATAAAATTTGAATTATTTCACAACGTCCGGTGCAATTTACAAATCATTTGTATGACTGAACGTGTTGTACGGTAAATACTGTTTGTCAAGTTTTATGTTACTGTGAGATTTTTGATGAGTTGAATGTAAAATATAGGAAAAGAGGTATATTTACTGGATTTTAAATTCACTGAATCGTGCCTTCAGCGAAAATAGCGAAAATTAATTCCAAGCGAAAATAAAGTATTTTACAGTATATACTTCCCCTTATAGAAATTCACGTGTTACAATAATGTAAAGTAGCAATGATTGTAATAAACTGGAAATGTACAAGACATGAGAAACCAACATACCAAGCAGTAAGAATATTGACAATGATTTCATTACATCATGTACCGTACTGGACTGCGTTAGCGCCCATGCCCAGGTAAACGCCCACCCCCTATTTTTGCGAAATTTTTATTTTCGGGGTCACATTCGGCAAGTTGCCCACCCCTTCAAAATGCAACTAATTTAAAACTTGGTCTTGTGTAACGAATCTTGGTATGATATTTATATGATACAGCGTGGATATCGTCCACTGTGAATATTTTGTGAATGCGTAGACCACGTTAACCGTGTGTAAACTACGCTTTGACAATGACCTGTTAATACAAGTAAAATGCGGTAAATATTCATGCTATATTAAGTTTACCTCTCAAAAATGAATAGTTACCAGTTATTTGGAAAAACCATGTCATTTATTTTGCTGAAATAAATTCCATCGTACTTCAACATTGAAAATTCACTTCCGCATTGTTTGGTATATTACAGAGGCATATTCACATCACATGTAGACGTAGTTTTTACCTGTTTATTTTGGCTATCTGTGGCAATGTGTTAGGTGTTTTAGAAAAAAAAATATTATTTAAGACATTAACATAATATAATTAATCATCTTACTTTGTTGCAGAATACAGAGTAATAAGTTTCATTTCTTTCATCGAGTCTTTGACAAGCACATCAAAACCAGAACCAACTCCTGCAACAAATAGTACGGTAACACATTGTTCATTCACAAACTCTTGTTGTCACGTGGTAGACCCAATTGTTGTCAGTTTCTATGATAATGCTGCTTTTAATTATATTACTAAGCAATACTTAATTACTTTGTGGTGGTCATAGCGACCATATGCACTGTGAAACTATTTAATTTTCGCTACTAGATATTTTTGATGTTTTTACGACAATGATGAAGCCTAAATTTCACAAAAGTCGTTAACAATACGTGTCATAGGACTCAGGAGAAATTTTCACTCTTAAACAAATTTTACGGTTTCACTGACTAGCGAAAATCGCAAAAATTTGTTGCTTGAAAAAAAATGTAAGCGGTTTAAAATAATCAGTTATAATACATGGTTTATGCATGGCTCGCATGGGATTTTCATTAATTGAAGAAACGTTAAATAATAAACTACGGCTTAAAAAAGATATTCATGTTTCTGGTCACTGCTTGCATCATTTGAAACTTGCCGTTTTTATCCTCGTTATTTCGGCTATTTGTGAAGACTTTCAGCAGGCGATGTTTTGAAGCATTTGAAAAAAAAAATTAAAAATAAATTCAGTTTCCATGGAAAATCATAAATTTAATTTTAAGGTGAATATAAATAGCCACCTAGTATAAGTGAATTGATTTTTGAGAACTAATTGAATAGAAACATTTATTTTTCACCTCAAGTTATTGAAGTGATGCTTGTGATCTGATCATAAACTGTGGTCCTCACATACCTGGAAACTCTCCTGGAAACATACCACACACTTTAAACATGAGGCTGTTTCTGTTGTAAATCACCTTCTTAGTGATGCCTCTCACATTAGTTTCAAGTCCCGGCCCAAACATTACTATCTTAGGTGGTTTCTTCGGCAGTAATGACCGAAGTAGACTAGACAGATGAAAGTTTGGTAATTCCACGTTGATATTAGGATGACATCTAACATATCTACGAAAGATATTTGTATGGTTAGATATTTATAGATAAAACATACAAAATGAGGTTATTACAAGGTAAACAAGGTACGGTATATGAATGATGAAAACCAATGTATACATACGTTGCGATATCCATAAAATAACCTTCATATTAAACATGTATGATGACCAAAACTTGGCAAGATGATGACAATCTTTTTTATCATTATGCCTGATAGAATTGCATTTCCTTGAACAGTACATGTAGATTGTAGATATCGCAAATTCTAGCACATGTCTTATAGATCTATCATTTGTTTGATGAATCAATGAAATCCTCTCATATGCATGTACACTAGCACGTACAGTAACACTCACTGTGAATACTGTTGTGTGTCCGCAAATACAAGTATCCAACAATAGTATTGAAAACATATTGCATCTTTAATGAGTAGCACTACACACATGCGGTACAAAACGATCGTTGAAAAAAACAGTACAATATAAATTGATACGAGTATAGTGCCTTCCAATTACAACCAAGTGTCTGATATTGTAAAACCTCAGTTAATTTGAATAGCACACCACCATGGCCAGGTTCATAGCAGTGTGAACTACACACATACAAAACAACCGTTTAGAAAGACAGTACAAAATGTTCAATAATAAATGAGACTCATTGGTATAAGTTCATAGACAAAAAATTACATTAATTAATGGTACTAAGGTTACATAAGGAAATTGGTTGAAGTATGAGAAAATGTTGCCTTTTTGGGTAAACAATTGCATTTTGACATGCGACTGCTATTTAGAATTTCGGGAGAAATATGATTTGATATATTGCAGTGAAGTTGAAAAATAAAGACATATTTTTACATGTATATACGTACATTTGTTTAAATGTAAGGTCAGAGTTGACTTCTGTATAAGTGATTGGATTTGAGCGGTTTCCTATTATACTCCATTTCACCATATCTCGTTCAAGAAATGATTTCCATAGCAACTCGTCTTCTGATAATGCATGCCAATATTTGCACGTCGTTGATAATCGGACTAAATCATGCGAACTCAAGAGAGAAAATATGTATAGTTGTATATAGACCTGCAGAAATAATAATAATAGGTAGAAATATTAATGTTGAGTACAGATGTTGAATCAGTATGTGGTGATGTGAGAAATATGTAGACCAGTCTACTTATTATGAGAATGCTTGTGGAATGGAGGCTTAGATTCAACTGTGAGCCTTTCTTGCATAAGGAAGTTATTGTAGTAATTCCTTGAAAAATTACTGGAAATGAGGAAAAGTCTAAACATAGATTATAATACAGTATTAAAGGGTGGTAGTCATGACGCCACGCATGCGCGAGATATATGGGTCTCATATAAACAAAGATAGTGACTTTGACTGTAGCACAGATCCACAAGTACAATATGAGACGTTACCACGCTTTAATTAGGTATTTTTTAGGTGATTGGAATGTATGGAAAGAGTCACCGGTGGTAATTAGTGCAAGTCGCGCCCAGGTCAAACCTCGTACTTCCATTAGAACAGCGCATTAGACTGGGGGAAAATCAATGTTATCAACATAATTGTCGCACATGCGCAACGCGACGACCACCGCCCTTTAAACTAAATATCATCGTCTACATTTGGACATTTTGTTACGTCAAAGACGTTACAGAAATGAATAAAACAAAACAATTAAACTGTTGAAATGTTACATTTTCAGTAGTTTCGTTGTAAATTGAATCTGCCGTTTGACCCCTGGAAAAGCATCCCGAACATGGTATCAGAGTCAACTTTTGAAAAAATGTTGCACCCCTGTGCCAATATACAATCGTGAATCCTCACTCACCGGAATATGTTGAAATCCGGCTGTGCCATCACCATCGTCAGCGATTTGGAGGGCTTCACAGTCAATGCACCTCACAATATCTTCAAATTCACTTGATGCATTTTTCGACGTTGTCATCGAGTTGTACAAGTACTGAATGTAGTTCCAGGAAGAACTTACAGCCGAAGCGAAATCAAAAGAACCGCCTGACTGATCTCTCTTTTCCAGAGCAGTCTTGATATTATCGATGTTTAGCTCGCCAACCATTTTAGTTTGCACCAATTATGTGTTATGACTTCTTTACTCGACCATCAACTGATTCGAAATAACAAGAAAAGCCCCTGCCGAACCATGTTATCGTGTCTTCCTCCAGCGTGGAGGTTCCAACGTGGACTTTCTATAATTAGAAACATGTTGTCATAACACACACTTCCGCATTGCTGTGACTCTCGCAAAGTAACGCGAGACTTTCGTTTTGACTTTCATGAAATATCGCGAGACTTTTGTATGACCTCTTTGAATCGAGAACACGAACTGACCTCTTGATTTTCAAAGCTGGGACAAGATGGTAGGTTGGAAATAAAATTAAAATAAATCCACGACATCCGCGAAAACAATGGTGATAACACAAAATATTTCTGTGCTCGTACTTAGTTTAGTTAACCATTTATAATATCCCGACACTATTTTTACCGTTTAACGATATTTTGAGCGTTTTGGAACCCTTTCAATAAAAAGGGTTGCGTTATTTTGTTGGCAACATGTCTGCCTCCATGTCCGACGATCCGTAAGCTAGCGTTGACATGTGTAATATTGAAGTGGGATTTTGAGCTGATGGCTAATCATTAAAAACGCGTATTAAATTGTTGCGAATCGTACAAAATAATAGACACGCACACGCGTATAACATGCCACTTTTTGATTCAATATTTCTTATTTATATTGTTTTAGATGCTTGTAAAATCGCCATGTTACACTCGCTGTGCCATGATTTTAAGCTAATGTATTTTTTTTCTTGATGATAGACGAAGGGAACGTCCAGCTTTGGTAAGCGCCACAACAAGACGCACACAGAGTGTCGTCGTTGTGGGCGAAAGTATCACATCCAAAAGAAAACATGTTCATCCTGTGGATATCCCAGCAAAAGAATTAGGCATTGTAAGTATATTATCATCTCAATTTGTGCGTTCAATTTCCTGGTGAAAAAACAAGGTGCAATTCAGTTTTAACGTTATGCACGATGACAAAAAAAAAAAAACTTGGGCGTGAAGACCATGCATTTTAATACCTTGAAGTCAACTTTCATTGCAAATTTTACCATGAAAACCAAGATATTCTCATTTTTGTCCAGTCTTAAGACGTATTTATATAATTTCTATTTGTAAATATGTAACCAGCTGATGATAGGACTAGATAGCATTAACCAAATATGTGAGGAAGGGGCATTTATGGATAGCTTTGACATAGAGCAGCTGGTTGGAATGATAATAAATACAGCAAGTCAAGGCGTATTTTCAGTTGACATTTTTATATTGCTTACAGATAACTGGAGCATCAAAGCCAAAAGGAGGAAGACTACAGGAACTGGACGTATGCGTCACTTGAAAGTAGTCCATAGACGATTCAGGTGGGTGATTCTGAATGTGATGTTTTTTTTCATGCATTTGTAGTTTGTAGGTGTACTTAAAGGGCACCTTCCAGTTAAGATTAATTTCACAACAAATTTACTTTCTGGATTAAAATAACAATGGATAACAAAAGATAGATTAACACTGTAAACAACATAAACAATAGTGTCCCATGATTCTTTGGTGCAATCCATGGGATTGAGCAGTTCCCCTTTAACTAGGTATATTGACTAAGCATAGTCTGGTTACCTTGGGTTCTTCGGCCTTCTCCATACTAGTCCGGAAATGTTCGTCTTGATTTAGCGCGTAGAGTTTGTTATCCAGATGTTGATTGGTTTATAAATGTATGGCAGTGCTAGTCTGTATATGGTAATTTCAACTATGGATGACAGATCTGCACATGGCTATATCAACTGATAGTCGGCAGATACACGAAAGTGTGACCATCTTCTATCTCACGTTGGAATTTACATGGGTAAGGAGCATTTCAAGGCAACATTTCCAAACTAGTATGGAGAGAACTGAAAAACCAATAAAATAATAAGGTAACAAGGCAAAAATTGTTTTATTATAATCAGATAGATCTCCAATAGAAGGCCACATAAACTAATTCTCTTCATAGAGTTTTCAAACTCTAATGATAATGTGGATTGCCTTACTTTTTGTTCAGTACAGGTCAGAGTAAACTACTTAAAAATGTACTTGCTACACAAATCTTATTCCTTGTGTAATTATTGTCAGGGGTGTTTTGCAAACTGAAATATCAAAATTGCCACTTACTGAATTAGAAATCAAGTGTGGTGAAAACTTGAATCTGTATACACCCATCTAGGGACCAGTGAATGTATAGTAATCACCTGTTCCATGATCATGATCAGGTGAAATCATTCATTTTGCAATAAATTATATTCCAAAAGTCACCAGCCTAATTTTCTATAAATGGTTGTATTTTAGTGAATAGTTGCCATTTTGAGAGTATTACACTTTTACCATAAGTTCCCATGGCAGAGATATTACGCCATATTTTAAATTGACATAGGCTGAAATCATTATTGGTACTTTATGTTCTAAATTATTCTGGCATTCAGCCCATTAGATAAGTGAAAAAAAATAGCATTTTTTTGCTTTTGAAATTGTTATATAACTGATTCAGAATTTTTGATCCAGTGAAATGTTTTTGAAGAAAAACTGTCTGAAAGCATTCAGTAATGGGCCTTTTGGAAATATTTTTATAGAAATTCATCTTAAAGCAATTTTTCATAAAAAAGTAAATAGTAGTCATCAGAATTTTCAATAATGAAACAGTCTTACAACTACATTTTTTCGCAATTTGTTCGCTAACAAAATTCTAATATGACCTTGTTTTCATAGGAACCAATGGTAAGACTAAAAATAAATTGCAGTTTAGCCAACTATCTTAATTTCCAACCTTGCCCAGCCTTAACATTTCACATTTTTTTCCCTTTATTTTTTCAGAAATGGATTCCGTGAAGGCACAACTCCAAAACCTCGTCAACGAGGTGCAGCAGCTCCAGCAGCTTCTACAGCCGTTGCAAAGACATAAATCAAAATATTTGACATTGTAAATTCCAACTGTTATTGTCTTTGTGCTGATTTGAGATATAAATAAAACAGGGGTTGCACATACATGTGTACATGGTGTTTTATTTGTTCTGTTATAAATGAAATATGTTGCTGTGAGGGATTAGAACCATGAGCTTTCATTTCAGTATACTAAATTGCACCAACCAGTCAACACCATTTGCAATAGAGCTGCAAACCTTTAAACTGTTTTATTGTTGGTATACTTGCTCTTAAATGCATTTCCAATAAGAAGCACAAATCTACATGAAATATAGTTTATTTTGAGCAATTGTTTGTTGGTATACCTGAGCCAGCAAGATAGTGTTTCATGTCAGAATTCAGAAAAATCTTCAACTGAAATATCGATTAGAAGTGGATTTTTAGACGAATCGATGTTAACATGCAGCCACTTTGTCAAAATTATCATACACAGATTAGAATTTCCAACTATCTAATTTCTTGGAACAAATATAATAGACTTGATATGTACCAAATACTGTATCAGCGCGAGTGTACTTGTTTCAATACCAGTTCCCTTCCAACGTACAGATTTACATTTATCCCAGGGAATGATTTTCTTAGATGACATACCAACATAATACGATACTGACACTTTATGAATAACCTGTAGTTAAACTTTTTAGCTCCGCTGTCATAGTGGAGATGTTCGTATAGGTGATTGTCACTGAATTGCATTTTTGACTTCTTGAAAATTACCAGTTCAATTGCTTTGATACTTTAAGAATGTTCGTGCAGTCAATTAAACGTCACATTATGCATGTTTGTGCGCATAACAATTACTGCGTTACGGCAACAGTTGTTTGCGATGTTCATACCCATTTACGACTTTTTGTTGGTAACTAACAATGGCGTCCAGGAATGACAGTAGTTTGTAGTTATTTTTAAACTCTATTAGGCTTGAAAAGATTAATAAGTGTATTGTATGAGTTTAAAAACAAGTGGGATCTAAATATCAACTTAAATAAAACTAAAATTGTAGTATACAGAAATGGGGGATATCAGTAAATATGAAAAGTGGTACTTCAAGGACAAGCAAATTAGTACTGTTGGTTCATACCTGGGATTGGTAATGTCATGTAAATGCTCTTAATATTACCACAGAAAATGTAGCTACAAAAGGAAAAAAGAAATTGATTGCCATCAAAAGATACCTAAGCAATATTTTAAAACAGACTTGTATTTTAAGATTGTTGACACCTTAATTCAACATGTACTTACATATGGGTCTGAAATCTGGGGATATGGTCAATATCAACATTTAGAAAGTGTACGTACATCTTATTGTGGGCAATACCTCGGTGTAGGTAAAAATGCTCCAACTTGTACAGTATTAGGGGATTGTGGGAGGCTACCCTCATTTTGTTACCATGTTAAGCGGTGTATGGTTTGTTAAAAATCACTAGCATAGATGTGAACATATTACCCCGAAAAGTTTACCGAATGCTACTTTCACTGGACGACAAAGGTCATGGGCCACAGAAATTAAAGAATTGCTATTTAAATACGGATTTGGTTTAATCAAGGGGTGGGGGATTCTGGTATGTTCTTGTACAAATTTTGTGAACTGGTCAAAGATACTGGAATTACAGATTGGTATATAGACGTTTGTTCTGGAGAAAAAAAACGCAGTATTATAGGCAATACAAAACAAAATTTGAGATTGAAAACTATGTGTCATTGCAACAATCAAAATTGCGCAGAGCAATAGCAAAATTAGGATGTGCGTGCCATCCCTTAAAAATAAAGAGGCAGACATAATATCCCTAGGGAGGGCCGTATTTGTCATTTGTGCCTGCAAGAAATTGACAGGGATTGAAATAGAATTTTTTCCCCTGCATGCACAGTGTGCATGTTAAATTTGAAATTTACCTGCACCAACTTGTTGTGAAATGCACCACTTTTAAAGTTTAAATAAAATTGACGGGTTCTCGATTGATGCGATCACGAAAGAATTTGCTTTTTTTTAGTTGTCTTACAATGTTGGTTGAACTTAATTTAGGCTTAGTGAATATAATGAGAAATTGTTGTGTTAATTTCTACATGCACAGTGTGCACATTAAATTTTGAGTTTACTTACACTAGCTAATAATCTATGTGCATAGTGCACCAGAGTATTTCGATCCCTGATTGATGATGAATATCATTTTTTACTAAAACGCACTGCATGGGACACAATCAGGTATCCCCAAAATTTGAATACTTTATTACAATTATTAAGCTCTTCTAACAGCCAAATCAGTATAACTCGAGTGTTTTTTATGTATGTATGTAAAGTTTGTATGTACCAGTATATAAATATTAAGATCCCCATCATATTATATAGTGGTTGTATTATCTATATTTTCATACACATTTTGTAATATAAATTTATTTCTTGTCAATAATTAATTTGTATGATTGTAATGGGCCGGAGGCCATTATACAATTAATAAAATTATTATTATTACAAGCAGTGCCTGTGAAAGTGGCAATGTCAGCTGGAGAAACTGTAGTAGAGCGCCCTCAAGTGGTGGGTGCGAGAGAGCAAAGCATCTTAGTCGAGATTGTATCTAGATGTCCCCATACATAGTTCAAAAACAAGCACAGTGACCTTGGCAACATTTTTATTATTTTTAGTAACTACTTGATATAACCTATGTTATATTAAATTCCTGTTAAAATGACATTAGTTGAATATATTTTTTTTAACCCAAATGAATATTTTATTATCCGGAAACTGAAGGTCTATACATAGATAAATGTGTCAATAAAACAAGTAGCAGTGATTTTTTTAAATAAAATTTGTCGGTGTTCATTCTTAAATATTTTTTAAAATTTAAAATGAGACATTATATATCTATAAGCATATTTTGAGTAAAAAATGTGTAAATCAGTTTTTATTTCTGGCCATTGTTGAATATTTAGTATGGTGATCCCCATTTTTTTTCCATTTTTTAATTACTGTAATAAAAAGGAATATAAAAAATGATATTTCATAAAAATAACATTACTTTGATTTTTTCATAACCAGCATCCTTGGGTGGACCTCAGATTTCCTTCATTTTTGGAAAAATATTTTTATCATCTTTGGTAAAAAATCTCATTTTCTAATTTTTCTTGGACATATTTTATCAATACTTAGTTACATTAAACAAAACAAAAAATCTGTTGCCTGTAACTCGAAGTTCGATTAACTATTATAGTTACGTTCCACAAAAACAAAAATGTATGTTGCTCGTAACTTGAAGTTCTGTTAACTGTTAGTTAAAAATAGAGCTTAGGCATGGTTTCTAAAATACGAGCATGGGCATTTTTGTAACTATGTTTTCATAACTAACAATTCAGTATCTTGAGAGTAACCAGTAGAATGGCACTCTGGAATTGTAGCTAGAAGGAAGTGGAATCAAATGGGGAAATTACCATATATCTACATGTAAATTCATATAGGCATTTGCCCAAGGTCACTGTGCCAAAAGAATCTGTCCATAAACCATACTAAACTCCATGGTGAACATACAGATTGAGCTCCTCAAATCTGTTGCCATGTGAACCAACAAAAATGATTCATGATATTATATGGAACAATATACCGGTAGTATGGAACAATTGTGACCAATTGGCTGCATTTCACAGTTTTTTGGCATACATGTAATTAGGCAACATGGCTGCTTTTAACTCAATCAATACTTATAACTTGGTCATAAGCAGCTAGCTCAAAGCAGCAGATGCTTGATGAAACATGTTTGAATTTCACGGTTTTTGTCTCGAGTGTCACCTAGTTGCTGGCTGTGATGGTAGAGGGATTCCTAGTGCACTGGATTCTTCATCTGCCAATTGTATCTGATCTGAAGTGCAATAATCCTACAAAAAAAAAAAAAAAAACAGTATTAAAGTGTACATTGTAATATTTAACACATTTCCTGCTGAAGATCCCCAATATAGATGGTATATGTAAAGGAGTATTGTAAAACCATTTAATTTCAATATTTTGATGTTTTTGATTAGATTTAATCGCTTTCATATTAAATAACCTGTGACCTATCAGAAATATAAACCTGTGCCTTCTGACTATCAGTAATATGAACCTGTGACCTCTTACCTATCAGGAATACGAACGGCTGACCTATCAGGAATATGAACCTGTGATCTACAACATTGGAATATTGTCACTGTCAGCTGAACACCAGACTGCTCAATGTCAGTTTGTCTATGTTGAGTAAACACTGTCACCAGATTTGTTTGAAGAGGAGAGAGTATTTATGTTTGTGACGTCTTATGATGCACCTACCTGTAAAAATATAACTGCCAAGTTACTTATTCTTGAATTGCCAGACTGCGATAATCTCTGCATACATTGAATTACTGGAACAGTTAGAATATCTTTTGAATAAAAACAAAACAAACCAAATCAAGTGTGCTGGGAGTAATGGTGGCATATTGAAAACTAATTCAAAATTTAAGATTAGCCTTTTAAACAAGAAGCTTGGCGACTAATATTGGTCTGCTTTGAAATGCACAACATGAAAATAATTTTATCCACAGTAAATTTATACTAAATTTGATTGGACATCTGTGGTTTTCAGTCTAATTTATTCTAGAGCATATGTACCACAAGTTAAATTTAGAAACTGGTTAACAATCAATAGGCATGGTTTTCAAGATTGAATTAATCACATCAAAAATCTAATTATTATGCAAATTTGGTAATTATTATCAACTTATTTCAACCCAAAACTAAGTAGGTTGTCACATTGTCTCAGAGCATTTATATACCAAGCTTCATTGAAATAAGATGTCCTTGAGATCTCAGTAGAGAAGCTGAAAATTACCTAATTATTATAATAAGTAGGTAATTAATATACAGTGATTTTAACTCAAAATAGGTCTGTGCATTGTCGTGTCCTCGAAAATTGATTTATCAATTAATTATTTAGCAAGTTATGTAATTAATATGCACAGAATTGTACCCAAAACTAATCAGGTCTGCTTATTTTCTTCAAATATCTGTGAAAAAGACGCACAGGGTTACTGCAAGGACATTGTGTGCTTTGCATATGGGAGTCAAAATGAAAAGATGTTTCATTAATAAGAAAGCTAGTAGGGAACAAACCAAGACTTTTAGCGGTGAGCTGACAGATGTCTTTAATCTTTTCAATTTACTATACAATTGCTTTAGATGATGATGAATTGTTGATGTGCTCAATTTGTGCAAATATCAGGAAATAAACATTAAACAAACACAAGAAATTTCTGAGTTTTGATAATTTTGTATCTAATAGTTTAAATTCCATAAAGATTTTGATGCATATTCTAGTATATCATTACGGTAAATATTTTACATATTGTAATAGTCACTGAAGCTTTAGGAATGATCTCCAAGTGCAACTTAATGTATTAATGTAAACGTTTCTCAGCTGAAGGAGTGTGTTGGTGTTATTGTTAAAGTGATTAAGTACTGCAAGCTACACATATGATTTATAGTCTATTTTATATCTCTTTTTATGACCTGTGTTTATATCTGTATGTAGATTAGTACACCATGGGTGTTACAGTGAAACACCACAGCTATGAGTCGTGATAGGTAAAAGAGACGTGCATTGAACATCTGTCGAATAAATTAAACAATTTGATTTTAAAATTGAAGTTTTTTGTTTTTTATAATTCAGTGTTGATCTTACAGAGGAATATAGTGTTGAGATATCTTTACATCAAAATTAACCAACATCAAATGCGTATAGCACATTATGTATTGAGCTTGGAAATTCACAAACAAATACTTCTGAGTTTGTATGAAGCTATGACTATTGTTTATCCTGTTCAATTTCACGCAAACAACTATGTAGTTCAAACCAAGGGTAGTCCATAGATAACGCAACTTTCATTACCATGCATGATGACATGTAATATAAACAATTCAAATATTCATATTTCCGTTCATTGCCAATCAAGTTGACTTGGGCATTCAAATGGTCAAACCACAGGTGTATAAAACAAAAGATGGTAACCAGATTTCA